TATATATATATATATATATATATATATATATATATATATATATATATATATATATATATATATATATATATATATATATATATATATATACATGAAGAATCCTAATAGTAGAAAAAGGAATGTAAATAATAATAATAATCTATTTCCTATTATCTATATTACTCGTAATAGATCTAACATGTATGATAGCTTTCTGATAATCAAGAGAGAAAATTCTTTAAAAAATAAAAAGATATGAAAATATTAGATGTATAAGTCTTTTAAAATCAAAATACTCCCTCTGTTTCTGAGTATTTATCCACTTTTGACTTTTTTCAGCCAAAATTGATAAACTTTGGCAACAAATTAAATAAAAATGAATATAAAAATAGTTTTATTAGATTTATTATGTAAAATATTTTTAATAAACTATTTTATCTGATTAATATATAGTATATATTTTATTTAATTATAAGTCAAAGGTTGAAAATGATGACTGAGAATGATTAAAATTGGACAGATACTCAGGGATGGAGGTAGTATGATTTTTCGTTGCATCGTTGTTAAATTGTCATTGGCACATCGATCACCACACTGTCGCAATGCAATTCATTGCATGCCTTTCGTCGATGGACCATCGTTGCCGTCAGTTGTTGATGTTGACCGGTGGTGCAACTCGATTGATCGATTACACTTGTGATGATCACTCTATGCATATCGGCATTACATTGTGTTGGCTACTTGGCTCTATCTTATTGACTGTGGTCTAATTTTTTGAAGATCTGGTCTGATCAGATAGAATTTGATATGATAAGATCTAATCTAATCTAGACGAATATGATTGGGTCTCATGTGATTCAACATAACTTGATCTTATTAGATCTAATTTTATAGGATCTTATCTGATTTGATTCAAAAAGGTTGAAATTATTCTAATAACTTTATTGTTCTTGTTGTTATTTACGTAATCATAATACTTTAGCTCTCTATTACTAAATCATTATATTCCTTCGTAAAACGGGTAAGTTTGTACTTCCTCCGTTCCACAAAAACCTTCCTCTTTCATTTTTTTTGTTTTCCACAAAACACTTTCACTTTCTATTAAAAACCACTTTTACCCCTACTTTTTCATACCCTACCTATCACATCATACTTTTTCACTAATAACCAAACTATCGCATCTTACTTTTTCCCATCACATCAGGGGGAAAATTGGAAAGTCAACCAAAATTACACTTTCCTTATTTTTCACCAAAGTCAAAACCGGAAGGGTTTTGTAGAATGGAGGGAGTATCTTTTTAAAAATAACTTTATTTTTAAAACAATATAGAAATAAAGAGTATGAGATACATATAAATTAATTCAATAGTTCTATAAAACAAGTAATGCATATCTATTTTATTTTATCAAATAATTAATAGAAATACATATGCAAATAAGTACGTATTTATCTAAGGACTGTAATAGTATATATGATGTTAATTCTTCCAATACTTTCCAACTCTTTCTAGTTTTTTTCCAACTTATTTTAGTTTCTTCTAACTCTTAATTTCTTCTAACACTCAACTATGAAATCCCAACACAAAAAACATGACCCTAATGTAATGTAAATTTATGAAAAAAGAACAAATTTCCCAATAAAATTGTATTCAGTATTATTTATAAACTATAGTTATAATAATAATAATAACAACAATAACAACAATAACAACAATAATAATAGACTAGTAGTCGTAGTAGTAATCATGCATGAAAAACGTAACATTTTATTTTTAGAGTCATTATTAGTGAGTAAAAAAGATTGATGAAAATGTGAATAATTGGAAAAACTAGACAAAATTAAAAGAAATTGGAAGAAACTGAAAAATGAGAGAAACGAGAGAAAACAAGAAGTTAAGAGTCTAAGCTCTAAAAAACATACTCTAAGTCCTTGTTCTTTTGGGTTGATTAAATTAACTTCCAACTTCTACTAACTCCTTCCTGTTTCTTCCAACTCTTTTCAGTTCCTTTTATTTCTTTTCAGTTTCTTCTAACAACAAATTAAAATGTTATTTGTATATGATTAATATAAAAAAAATATTATATATCAAAATTTATAACATATCACATCAACACAGATCGGACAATGATGAATAAATAAAATTTTCTTACATATTTATTTAGATGATCATTTAATTGAGTGATTTTTTAACACTTGAGTTCTTCGAACATTTTCCAACTCCTTCCTGTTTTATCCAACTCCTTCTAGTTTTTCCAACCAACATCTAGTTCTGAAATTTCAGCCCAAAAGAATAGGCTCTAAATGTGAAATTTTTAATAGTACGGAACTACATTATTTAGTACTGAATTTAATTCCAATTAAATATTCTTTGAGTTTAGCAAATACAATTCCCTTATTCTTGTTTGATTACATTTAATCAATTAAATTGGAAAAATGGTAATGAAATGAGATTTGACATATTTAGAGTGTGTTCTTTATGTCTAGAAAAAAGAGCTACATGTTGGAAGAGACTTGAAAAAACTGGAAAATTTGGAAGAAATTAGAAAAAACTGGAAAAAATTGGAATAAACTATAAGAAATTAGAAAAAACTGAAACAAACTAAAAAAATATTCAAAATTTATTTAAGTGTTATTTTACATAGTATTCTTATTATAATTGTTGTTGTTCATAAGAGGTAAAAATATGAATAAATTCGATCGCGTGAATAGTGTACATGTCATTTAATTAGTGACAGAAAGAGTAGTATTATAGTTTTTTAATTTAATATATTGATGTTTTTTCCATGTCAATTGAGATTAATAAAATATGCATATTTTTGGAATATAGTTTAGTGTCATGTAAATTTAAGAAAAATAGAACAATAATTTTCTCAATAACGTTACATTGTGCTCCGAATTATTTATAAACTATATTTATTATTATTATTATTATTATTATTATTATTATTATTATTATTATTATTATAGTGAACTTGTCCCTTGACTTGAATGGAAGGAGCTCCCTCCCCAATTTTTCATGGAGAAATTCACTCAAGTTCGAGTCTAAGTGTAGGTAGAAGCATTGATTCTTTGTGCGTTATTAATTTGAGAATAGTATGAATAGATACTACTTTGTTATAGAGTCAATAATATTAAGAAACTAGTAGTAGTAATCATAC